AAACAGAAACTAAAATAAAAATGTTAAATTTCAATGAAAACAAAAAAGATTAAAATATATAAAAAAGAAAAGTTGGATATATTAAGTCATAGCGCCAATCTCCTAAGAGTTGAAGTGTTTATATTTAAATGGATAAAATTGTTGAAAGATGCTGAAGTAAAAAAAAAAAAAAAGACTGGAGACCTGTCCAGGGTGTCCCCCACCTCTCGCAGTGACCTCTGGACGTGGGCGCCAGTGACCCCCGTGACCCAGAAAGGAAGAAGCTGGTAAAGATGATGGATAGCACTAAAAGACTCTGATGTTGGTGGTTGTTTAGTTTGTTTTTCAGAACTGTCTGATCAGATGTCAATGTTTTATTTCTATAACACATTTAAAACAACTGAGGTTGACCAAAGTGCTTTACAAACCATAAAACAATAAAATATCATAAAACACAAACAACAGGACAATAAAGTATATAAAGACAACACAAGTTCATTTAGTTCTTTTAAAATCTTGTGCTCTGTTTGAATCCAAAGCCAAATGAATAAATTTGGTCTTCAACAAAGTTTTAAAAGTCTTATAGTCTGATCTGTCTGAACATTGAAGGAGAGACTGTTCCAAAGTTCAACGAGGTTAAAATAAACTTCCACTGTGACACTTCCTGTTTAGACTTTAACCCAACATTTTATTGTAATATCAGCAGAGAGAGCAGTTTGATTTATTATCAACCTATAAAAGTCATTCTGCAAACAAAGGCAACAAATCTTCTAATATTTTGTTGTTTTTATTTATGTTTATAAACATGACAAGAAACAATGACCTTTAAATATTTATTTAAAAAAAAAAACATAAAAATGATACTCTTGCTGTTGAACTTTTGAAGAGATTCCAGATTCCTCAGCTCCTGCTTCAGACCAGTTTCACCAGTCTCTCACTGGCCTCCCACAGTTTCTTTGCCACACCAGCGTCTCTTGCAAAAGGCCTCAGAGGGGCCGGCTGGCAGTCGACAAAGTAACCTCCGCTGTGCTTGGCAGCTTCATCTGACACGGCACAGTAGGTGACGGTCTGCGCTCCGATCTCACACGGCACAAAAAACATCCACATGATCACCTGCATCAGCATCCGGAACAGGAACGAGTAGTGGACTGTCCAGCTGCTCTGAACAAAACCTGCAGGAACAGATTTCAAATATTAAGAGACATCAAGATGAATATTCAATCAAGCTGAAAGATGCATGCTTCTCTTACCAGGGTGCACAGCACAGGAAGTGACTCCTTTTCCCTCAGTGATGCTGGCCAGCTCCTGACTGAAGTAGATGTTGGCCAGCTTGCTGCGGCAGTAGGTGAAGAATGGCAGCAGATTGTAGTTGAGGTCCTGGAAGTCCAATTTCTGATATTTGTAGCTGGAACATGTGAGTGTTACAACACGGCTGGGGGCGCATTCCTTCAGTCGAGGCAGAAACAGATTAGTTAAGAGGAAGTGACCCAAATGGTTGACACCAAAGCACATGCTGAAGCCATCGTCGGTCCAGTCGAGGACACCGGGCATGCCTGAGGAAGCATCACGAAGGGGCAGAGAGATGACAAACACAGGACGGGTTTAAGCTGCTGCTGGTTGGTGATCTGCATCATCTTACTGCTCAAACGTCTCACCTGCATTATTGATCAGGACGTCAAGCCTCTTTTCTCTCTCGAGGAAGTTTTTGCAGAATTCCCTTACAGAGCGCAGGCTGGCCAGATCCAGCTCCATGTGGAAGACATCGAGAGAGTGACTCCTGAGTTTGATCTCTCTCACAGCCTTCTCAGCCTTGATGTGGTCCCTGCAAGCAATGATGACACGGGCACCTCTCATGGCCAGAGCAACAGCTGTCTCCTTACCAATACCAGAATTACCACCTAAAAATAAGGACAAATGTGTTTATGATTTAAAGAAGAAGTGAGCAATTCACTGATTTGCATCCTGAAAATTTCTGTACCTCCAATCAGTTAAAGAGGAAGTATTAAATGTCATCCAACTGCATTTTTATTCTCAAAATTAAAATTTATTTTGTTTACCTGTAATAAGAACCGTTTTACCATCGAGTCTTTTCAGCTCCGTGAAATATCTCCTTTTTTTCGTCCATTTTAAAAGAAAAAAGAAACCTAAAGAAGCAAAAACAGTATAAAGGAAATACATTTCTCTGACCTCAAAAATCGAGAAGCTAACAAACAATGCTAACACTAGCTGGTTAGCTTGCTAGCTTGTTGTTAAAATATTATCTATTTTAACATTCTGGACTTCGTAGCGATGAACGTGACGGAGCGGATAATATCCAAGTTGACTTCAGTTTTTAATTTAATTAAGTTAATATTCATGTTATAACCCTTTATGGGTTTATTTTTATTCAATTAGATTTAGCTACACAAAAAAAGCTTGACTGCGCATGCGCGAGAAGAAACTCAACTCTCGCGAGAGTATCGGACCAACGCGTGGTAGTTTGTAACAACAACGCGTGACCTGGTGAGCGTGCTGCTGTTGACCTTTGATACGCTTCATTCAGCTTCAGACAAGGAAAGGTTAAGAGGTTGTTGTTTTGTTTTATAACTTAAACATGAGCGCGTACAGCAGAGAGGCCGTTATTATTTGGGGAATTCTTATTTTCTCATCTACAGTAACAGGTATGTTTGTATTTTAAATCAAACACAGTAATGGTAAATTTTGACAGAATTAACTTTTATGATGAAAATGTGAAGTCAGTCTGAAAACCAAAGAACCACAGGGCTACCTGCAGACAGTGCTTAGTGTATTTTTAGTTAAAGTTTTCCTTAGTTCATCTTATATATTAGTTTTTTCTTTTACATTTTAATACTTTTGTTGGATGTAACTGGGACCCTGTGTACATAATTTCGTTCCACCACATGTACCACATGTTGTGTGTATGTCAAAGAACCTTGAATCAAAGCAAAAATGTAGCATGCCTGACAATATTTACAGTAGGCTTTGACAAATTAATGGGTTAATTGTAAGCAAAGTAAGGTGACTGATCTGCTTAAATTTAAACAGAACATTTTTCTTTAATTATTTGTTGCTTATTATCCAATCTATAATTAATTAATGCATGCATTAGTATATTTAAAACTTTTTTTTATATATGCCAAATGTTCCTGTATAATGAAATATATTAATTAACATATTGCTGTATATTTTCCAGTATAGTCCTACATATTTTTGTTTCTCAAGTTTCTGAATGCACATCTAAGTACTTGAATTTAAACAAAAGGATGCAGGCTGGTGTTTCACATTTATTAGTCACATACTTATGTGTACTGTTACTACTAGTGATATTAATATAAACAATGTGTATTTTAAACAGGTCAAACGTGCAGAGGAAAGTGTGGCCGTGTGTTGGAGGCGTGCTCATGCCGTGCAGCCTGTTTGTCTTTGCTGAACTGCTGCACAGACTACAGCCAGTCCTGTTTCCAGGCGTCGCCTCACTCCAGCTCCATGCTGGGTGGGAGAGCTCTCCGGATCCTCGGCTTGGATCTCCCCTCCGATGGGCTCCTTGTCTGCAGGTGTGTGTTTGTGATCAGCTCCACACTCACAGTTTGAGTCGCACCAGCCTCTAAAGCAGGGGTTCCCAAACTTGTCCATGCCATGGCCCCCACAAACAGCATTAGCCCCCCTCGCAAACCCACAAACAGTGCCACAAAATACGTAAAGAAACATCAACTTTAGAATGTTTTAACTTTTATTCACTATATTCAATTAATTATTACAGCTGCTGAGCACAACATGTTATTAACCAACATGTTTTAAACACTATTATATTCCCACTGAAAAAAACAACTTTTTAACAAACTTGACCAGAAGAACAAAACTAAAGAAATGAAACTTCTCTCTCAAGCGTGTTTATCTGGAAATGACAGATACAAATTGCCCTAGTGGGCATTTATTATTATTATTATTATTATTATTATTATTACAGTTTATATTTTTGCTTTTATTTATCTTCTCTCCAGCTTTCTGGGGTCTCCCTAGCGCCCCCTGGCGGTCCCATTGAAAAACACTGCTCTAAAGTGTCACCAATCAATTTTTGTGTCCAGTTCATTTTTGTGAAACATCAGATTAAAATTTCAAGTCTCATGAATCCTGCAGTTAGGAAGAACGCAGGCACGCTCACATTTTTCAGTTCAAACATTTAAATTGAAGTTCTGCATAGGTTGTTCAATGTTGGTCCGAGCTACAAACCTGATAAAACTGCACAGCGCATTATAAATAAAAGCAATATTTAAACATGAATTTCAGTTATCATTTATGATTAAATCTTTGTCTCTTAGATAAAGCTGTGTATTATTTCACTTGCAGGTGAATTTGGTGTTTTTCTGCCGATGAAAGCGCGCAGACTGTTTATTCTATTGATCCGTTCTGATGCAGGAGAAATGGAGCAGCAAATGGAGGCGATCGTGTTGTTGTTTGTCAGGCGGTCAAAGTCACTCAAGTTTGTTTCTTTTTGTTGCAGGTTCAAAGGTGAAGTTGAGCTAAAGGGGTTTGTTGATGAAGGGGGCCGTGCGTACTGCACCACTCCTCTGATGTTTGAGACCGGATGGATCCCGTTTGATGTCTCAACAGATGGAGCTCATTTTGACAGAGCAGGAGAATATCTGTCAGGTAAGACGCTGGAAAACTAGAACAAAGGTTTTTCCTTCTCTGGTCAGTACTTGAACTGTTCAGAAAGTTTGATTCAGAAACCACAGAGTGAGAATGGTTGTTTGTCTCTATGTGTCCCTGTAATGGACTGGAGACCTGTCCAGTGTGTCCTCCGCCTCTCGCACAGACACTAGTAGCTCCCCGTGACCTGGAATAGAAAAGCGGGTCAAGAAAATGGATGAACTAAATTCAACAAAGTTAAGTCAGGTCATCTGGACTGTTTCTTTTTTTTTTTGTTGAGACGTTTTGTCCTTCATCCAAAGGACTTCATCAGTCCGAGGAGCCACAACAAACTCAGTCCCACAAACGGCACACTCGCATAGTGGGCCTCCTCTGACAGATGAAGTCCTTTGGATGAAGGACGAAATGTTTCAACAAAAAAAAAAAAAGAAACCGTCCAGAGGACCTGACTGAACATCGATGCATGAACTTTGATGTTTTGAACCATTTAGGCTGTGGCTGCCTCAGAGGAGTCGACGGGGAAGAGGGCGGACACCAGAAACCATCTTATCACCATGGAACTGGTTGATCCACTATGCGAGTGTGCTTCTTGTGGGACTGACTTTGTTGTGGCTCCTCGGACTGATGAAGTCCTTTGGATGAAGGACGAAACGTCTCAACAAAAA